TTTCTGCTCCCACCAACGGAAGCCCCTTACTTCTCTCCAGCCAGTTCCCCACTAAACCCCGCGGGGCTGATCCCCGCGGCTGTGATGAATCAGAAACCGAATATTCGTGCTCTCAGACAGTCTGTGCCTCGGCCGCCATCGGTGCTGTGACCACGTGTGAAATCTGTGTTGCACATCATTGCCCTGCCCGGTTTGCTCCCTCTGCACCCCGCTAGCAAGTGCGCTGGCCCTGGCTCTGGCTCTGGCTCTGTTAGGCTGGAAGGAGGGTGTCTTGCTGGTTCTGGGGCAGCTTATCCCCAATGTAGTGTGAAGCGCAGTCGTGTTGGTAGATCGGGACCCAGAAGACCCTGCCCTCCCTCTCCAGCCCTCTCAGTTACCGTGAGGCCTTGGGCTAGTACCTCCCCATCTCTGGGCCTCTGTTTCCCCATCTGAGAAAGAGGCAGGAGCCCTGGGCCTCCCTGCAGCTCCTTGAGCACCAACAACTCCCCTCCCCACCACACTGGCCCTCCCCTCGGGAGCATAGCTGGGCCACACCCTCCCTGTGCTCCTGCGTGGGAGGGGCAGGGGCAGGGGGGGTGGCAAAAAGAAGGGGAGGGGTGCTGATCTCTAGCCATAGACATCTCTTCTTTTAAATTGTATTTTTGTGATGCAAGATGTCTGTATTCATTAAAGAGAAATTAGCAAGTGCGGAAAAGCAGTGATGAAAATTATGCATAATTCCACGATTCAAACATAGCCACTGTTGTGGGCCGGGTGCCCCAACGCAGATCCTGCCACAAGGATTGGTGTGAAAGCGATTAATAGGAAGTGTCCCCAGGAAAAGCCGGAGAGGTCACGGGACCAGCAAGGAGAGGCAGCCGGCAACGTAGCACAGGGGGAGCTCTGACTCGGTCCCACAGGAGCTCTGGGCGTCGCCCCAGCTGCCCAGTCGGGCCCAGGAAACCAGAGAATCTAGACCGTTCTGTCCATCAGTGGCTAAGGGCTGCCCCCGGGGACGCAATTCCCAGGCTCCCTGGCTCTGGGTGCACGGTCCCAGCAGCTGGTGGGTGCTGTGCGGCAGTGAGCGCCTCCAGGGAAGGGCCTGAGAATCTGCAGGGTCTGAGCAATGACACGCTCTGCACCAGCCACCATTAACATTTTTACGTCTGTTCTCCCGGACACATTTTGGTATTTGAATGGGGTCACTTTAAAACTCTTGCAGGGCCTGGCGCATTTTGTCTTCATAACAACCCTAGGAGTGACATGGGATGTGAATTATTACACCGATATTACTGTTTCATAACTGAGGAACTTGATGGCACAAAGAGCCACTAATTCCTCACAGGTTCCCACGGGGTTAGTAGCAGAGCCAAGAGTAAGATAAGGTTTGTTCCTTAACAGATGATGTTTGAGCACCTGCCACGTGCCAGGTACTGTGCAAGGTGGGGAGGACACGGTATCACCCAGACAGCCCAGGCCTGTCCTCCCAGCTTCCAGCTGGCCCAGGAGATCAGTGACCTCACACTCAGGCCCAGGGGGCCCAGCTCTGGGCTACCCGGTCTCCCCCACCCTGACCTTCCCCTCCGGCCGCTCCTAGGTGATTGTGTATGTGGAGGACGTCAACGATGAGGCCCCGGTGTTCACACAGCAACAGTACAGCCGCCTGGCACTTCGAGAGACTGCAGGCATTGGCACGTCTGTCATCGTCGTCAAAGCCACAGACCGAGACACTGGTGAGGCCAGCAGGGGACCCAGGGAGCCCCATTCCCCAGAGTGACCCTCCCCAGCTAAATCCCTCCCACTCCCGCAGGGCCTATCACCCTCAGGACCCCTTGGGCTTCCCCTGTCAGCAGCTCCCAGGCCAGGGAGGGGCTCCCAGGACGGTGTTGGTGGCATCCTCACCAGATGCCCAGGACTAGGAGGGCTGGATGGAGAGGGGAGAGGTCACATGTTTGAGATGTCCAGGTTTGTCATTGCAGCTGGCCTTTGGCTAGGAGCTGGGCAGGACTGGGAGAGGTAAAGGAGTTGTCAGAAAGCTGGTGAGGCCTGCTCCTCCAGCCAGCCTCGGCTCCGGGCCTGCCACACAGGCTCTCAAGGGGCAGTGTGTCCCGTTCTACAGGACAGTGGTCTGCCCTGGGGGGAGCCTGGGTCTTTCTGAGGGCCACAGTTAGTGCAGAATGAAGGAGAACATGGCCAGGTCACTGTGTTCCTCTTCGTGAGGCCTGGCTGTCTGGGCCAGGGATACAGCCAGGGAGGAGTTCTTTCCTGGGATCTGCTGCCCCCCACAGAGGCTCCCTGAATTGCTCCTAGATTCCCAGTTCCTGTGAGTCCTTCATGTCGGCCGTTCTGGTGGCTCCCAGCCCCACGTGTCAGCATCCCCAGCTAAGCTGGGTGCGGGACGGGTGGAGGGAGAAATAACTCCGCACGCACTCGGGTGGATTGCTTTCCCATTTATACAGTTTAGGTCCACACATCACTGGCCCAGTGGTTCACGACCTTTTCAAAGGGTCAGGAATCCCTTTGAGAAACAAGTAACGTCTGTGGATCCCTCCCCCACAAGATGCACATCCATTCAGAGTTTTGCAAATAATTTCAGGGAGGCTGGGATTTCCCGAGTGGTTTCCTGGGCATTCCTCTGGCGGTCTGGAGACTTCAGCTAAGGAAGTCCACCTCTGGCACCTGGATGAGGGTTATATTCCAAGACCCAGGGATTCGGGTGGAGGAGCTGGGGAAACGGGAGAAGGTGTCCCTGGCACTGGAACCCTTTGGCTGGAGGGACCAAATGAAGACTTGGTCACCCCTGAGGATGCTGCCCATGTTGATCGAACACTTTTTAGATCAACACCCTCACTGCCAGAGATCCCTAATTTCCCCCCTGTCTTGTCCAAATACCCATGTGAGGTGCTTGAGCTTAGATTTTAAAGCTCCAGGAGCAACGCCCCCCCCCCGGTCTCATGCCCTGACCAGGCCCCAGAGGGGGTCCACAGCGTGTGCTGGGCCTTGCCGTCCACATAGACCTTGACCCTGTCCTCTGCTGCATCCCTTGCGGCGATTCAGCCTACAGGTGGGGAGCAGCGCTCGCCAGGTAGGCCCCGGCCCCTCACCCTGTGGTAGGGAAGCCCCACCGCCGTCTGGGATGGCACAACCTCTTGCGTCCTCCTGCAGGGGACGGTGGCCTGATAAACTACCGCATCCTGTCGGGTGCCGAAGGGAAATTCGAGATTGACGAGAGCACGGGGCTCATCATCACCGTGGATTACCTGGACTACGAGACCAAGACCAGCTACCTGATGAATGTGTCCGCCACCGACCAGGCGCCCCCCTTCAACCAGGCCTTCTGCAGCGTCTATATCACGCTGCTCAACGAGCTGGATGAGGACGTGCAGTTCTCCAACGCCTCCTATGAGGCTGCCATCATGGAGAACCTGGCCCTGGGCACCGAGATTGTGCGGGTCCAGGCCTACTCCATCGACAACATCAACCTGATCACCTATCGCTTCGACGCCCACACCAGCGCGCAGGCCAAAGCCCTCTTCAAGATAGACACCTACACGGTGAGGGAGGCTGGGTCAGCCAGTGCTCTCCCGAGGAGCAGGGAGCTCAACCCTTTTACAGCCAGCCAGCATTTATTCAGCTCCTCTGTATGCAGGGCACGCCGCTCTTTGTCATAAAGTATCGATAAACATTTCTGTAATACATCCCTTTTAATATTTAGGCGTAAGATAAAGTTTATACCTAGGCAACCGGGTATCCTTGGTACTAGATAATGAAAGCTATTCAGGTCATTGTGTTTCCATTTTTACCTGGGCTGTTAGGAAGCTCCGATATAGATTTTGGGCTTCATTGCAACAGCCAGTATTAGCCAGGTCTGTCTGGTGCAGCTCTCATCTGCTGCCTGGCTCTCACTTTTTTATCTTGGCTTTAGTGGTTTTTATAAGAGCCCCTTCTTTGAAAATAGGCATGGTAATATCCCTGCAGGGTCCCAGGCCTTGTCCTGAGATGAACAAAAGCCTTCCCAGCCGCAAAGAGTTCTCCGGCTGGGGGTAGAGTAGGGATTGTCAAGGATACAAGTCAGAGCGCCCAAGGGAAGATGTAGACAGACTGCAGTACAGTGTAACGGAGTGTCTCTGGGGCCCAGATAAGAGCAGTCATGCCCGGCTGGGAAGCAGGAAGCCTGCCTGGAAGGGGTGGTGTCTGAGGGACTGAGAGCAGCAGGACTGCAATAGTTATGTCAGACAGAGGGCGGGTGGGGTGGCACAGCGGGCAGAGTGTCGGGGTCAGTGAGGAGTCTGCTTTGGCCAGAGCCTGGGACTGCTTGGGGGTGGGACAGGCTCTGCTGGTGTGTGCCATGTTTCACTCTCCCATCTGGACCCTCCCTGCAGGGCGTGATCACAGTCAAGGGCCTGGTGGACCGGGAGAAAGGCGACTTCTACACCTTGACGGTGGTGGCGGATGACGGCGGCCCCAAAGTAGACGCCACTGTGGTGAGTGATTCCCCGGGTGAGAACCCCACAGGTACATCCCATCACCAGCCCAAGGCACCCCAAAACCCACATCTTCACCAGCCACCCAACATGCAGGCGAGGCAGTAGGCGGGGGGGGAGGGGGGCGGTG